AGGGAAAGGCATGAAGAGCCTAAGAGGAGATGGGGAACACTATAGCTGAGAAGAAACTTGACAATGGTGAGGCCCTAAGCGGCCAGCGAATGCAGCGGAGGCCCATCCCCGCACATCAGTGTGAGCACATCAGTGTGAGCATGTATGAGGAGCGGGGCATCGATGGAGGGCAGACTGAGCCTCAGAATAGGAGAACTAGAAGATACCAATGCCTTGAGAGGCCTCGGGGTCAAAAGAGCATAGGCAGAGATGAGAGCAGGGGGAAGCGACACGGAAACCGGGGACAGCTCCTAAGCTCAAGAGGCAGAGTCGGTCGCTCTCCACCGCGAGGCGAACGCCCTCACTCCACCACTGCCCAGTGAGGAAACTGTTGGTCTTATGTGCACACGGCAACCCTGAGCGGCCTCCCCTCTGGCCCAATCGTGCCTCAGTTTCCCCATCCTTTGCGTAAGCCGAAAAGAATCATCCCCTCACGATGGGCTCAAACGCGCGCCCCTCGGTCCGTCCGGGCCCCCGTAGCCTGAGTTGACCCTTTTTGACCCCCGTAGCCCGAATTGACCTCGCCTCACGAGGGGCTTCCTCTACCCTCCCCCCACATTCCTATTCGGGCCGCACCTACACAGACGCTCCCGGGCCTGGCTCTGAGCACTGAAGCGGACCCAGGAGTCCATGACAGCGGCAGCCTCGACTTCACCGCCCTGCTCCCGCCCAATTCCCGCCCCCAGTCACGCCTCCTGGGCGACCCAACGGTACCTCGCGAGGGACAAACGACATCAGTAAAGAAAGCGAACGCAGCTGACCCTTAAAACAGAATTTCAGGACTCTAAGCGCTAGTTTCTGCTAGTCTCTGGGCCTACCCCTACGAGTTATTGTGTGTCCCTCCATCAAAGCATCCCGTTTATCACACGATCTCTTATTCCATAAGCACGCCTCTAGCACGATCTCCTTTAAATATTCAGGAGCAAGGGCGGGGCCTGCCGGGGTGGGGCGGGGCGACCAAGCGCCGCAGTGTACCCTCGCTCTGACAGTTGGGACAGCTTTACCCGCGGCAGAACGCCCCCAACGCACGCACGCACGCTCCGGCCGAGTCAGGGTCTCTCTCGCCCCTAACGAGGTCTAAGGCTATAGATTCTCGAAGCCCTGACGAGACTGTTCAAAGTGAGAAGGCGCAGGATTAGCATCAGATCCCTGTTCCCTGCAGGACCCTGACACCTGGGCAGGTGACGTCCTCCAGAATAGATGGAGAGCCCTCAGAGACAGGGCTTCAGATCCTGAACAGGACGAGGAAGAATCAGTGGCCAAGGCTAACCGCTGCATACCCACACTTCATCCTCCCCACTTCTCTTCCAGGCCCCCATGTCTGTAGGCAACGGCACTCCTTGGGAGTCAGCAGTGGGGGAAGAAGTCTGGGCGGGATCAGGAGTGGAGGTGGAGGGCTCAGAGCTGCCCACCTTTTCAGCTGCAGCCAAGGTCCGAGTGGGAGTGACCATTGTGCTGTTTATTTCTTCAGCCGGAGGGAACCTGGCAGTATTGTGGTCAGTGACTCGACCACAGCCCAGTCAGCTTCGCCCCTCTCCAGTCCGGCGACTCTTTGCCCATTTAGCAGCTGCCGACTTACTGGTCACTTTTGTGGTTATGCCCCTAGATGCCACCTGGAATATCACTGTTCAATGGCTGGCTGGGGACATAGCATGTCGGACACTCATGTTCCTGAAACTAATGGCCATGTATGCTGCAGCTTTCTTGCCTGTAGTCATCGGGCTCGACCGCCAGGCAGCAGTGCTCAACCCACTTGGACCCCGCTCAGGTAGAAGGAGACTTCTGGGTGCAGCCTGGGGACTTAGTTTCCTGCTTGCCTTGCCCCAGGTGAGTGATTTGTGGGGACTTAGGGGTGGGAGGAAGATTTGGGTGTTCTTGACCACAGGTAGCCACAAATCCTCAAGGTGAGAGTTTCAGTTGCCTTTGTCAGTAAAGTAATTGCATGTTAATTTACATTTAAGAGCCTACTGCTTAAAAATCAGTACACTGAATCACAGCTTCTCCTTCAATTTCCTTTACTAGACTTTGCTTCCACCTCTTTGCATGCTCCCAGTTACACCCTCTTCAGGGGTTAGGTGCAGAAAAACCCTAGGGCAGGGAGGAAATCTAGTAGCTATATATTTTTTTCTTTTTAGAGATTTTTGCTATAGGGAGAGACAGAAAGTGAGAAATCACCCCTTAGGGAGGATGGCCAAGCCACAATCTCTGGTGTTTTCTCCCGTCTGGATTTTGGACACACACACACACACACACACGCCCAACATGAGTTTTAAGCCACCTGGCCAAGGACTTAAACTGTGGTTGACCACATGGGAGTCCAGCATCATAACCATTATGTCATCTGCTAGACCCAAGGGCAGGGAGGAAACTATTGACTAGACAAATTGGCAATCACAGTACAGTGTACAACCTAAAGTGTTATGCTAAAAGTAAGGACTTAAAAGAACAGTTGAGGGAGATGTCTGGTCCACTCCTGCAGGCAGGGAAAGCTTTCCAGAGATGTTCAAAGTTGATCATTGAAAGCTAAGTATTAGACAAACCAAAACAAAAAAATACTGGGGAGGTGGAAGGTAGAGAATCTTGAACTGGTTGTTGCTAAAACTGAGGACTAAAAAATGGCGAATAATGAGCCAGGATGGGAAGGAAGGGCCAGATCACAAATATTAAGTTTGTACTTTGTCTTTTTTTGTTGTTGTTGAGAGATTTTTGCTACAGGATGATGAATGTGTTTGCCAGAGACAGGTAGAAACCAAGAAATCACTCCTCCCCCAGGGGAGGGGAGGTATGGCCATGCTGCACATACGCCTAGCATGAGTTTTTTTTTTTTTTTAACATTACTGTTTTTCTTTTTTAAAAAGAATTATTTTATTTAACTTTATTATTATTATCATTATTATTTTCCAGTTTGATCAAAGAGAGGAAATGAGAAAGCAAGCCACCAAGTCCAAGACGAACCATGGTTGGCCATGTGGGAGTCCAACGCCTTTAACCACCATGCCACTTGCTAGCCCCCCTAGCATGAGTTTTAAGTTGCTGGGTCCAGGACTTGAACTGTTGTCAACGTGGGAGTCCAGTGACATAACCATTATACCATCAGCTGGCCCTGTGTTTGTATACTTTATCATAAGGGCAATGGAGATGCATTAAAGGAAAAGGTGGAGAGTGACTTAATCAAATTTGTATTATTGTTTTTGTTTTTTTTTTTTACTGTGGCTTTACTGTGGAATGGATGTTAAAAATAGAAACAAGGGAGTATCTGAATTTGAGTATTTGGTTAATCAATTCTCAGTACTGAAAAGGAACTAGACATCTAGGGGAAAAAATGCTATTGAATAAATACCACTAAATACGCTATTCCTTCAAAAACGAAAATCACTGGCGATAGCCAGATGGCATGGTGTTCAAGGTGTTGGACTCCCACAGGGAAGACCACGGTTCCAGTAAGACATGGAGGCTTGAAAATCACCCTGGGTTCATGTGTATATATGCCCACTAAAAGGAGAATGGAGAAAGAATTGTGACCTGCCTACCCCTTACGGGGTGGTTTTGTTGATTTCTCACTGTTCCTCTCTCCTGCTAGCTCATTCCCCTTATGGCAAAAGCCTAAATATAAACTCCACCTCCATCATGGGACTAGGGGAGTTGGGCAGGGTACAACAGCATCTCGAGACTATAGCATTAGGATAATGTA